GAAAATGGCCAGCTTGCTGCTATAAAGTTGGTGGCACACTTAACAGAGCCGAAGACCATCATCACGCCTACCAATGGCTCCGCATAAGGCTAGCCTCCGCTCAGAATGAAGCAACAGGTCGGGCGAAGGGATATACGCAGGGCCAACAACCAACAGCCGCGAGCAGAGAAGGTGGAAACGCTCAGAAGGCACATGAACGACATGAGTGGGCGAGAATAATTCAAACCGCCACCAGCAATCGATCGGTACAATCGATCAACACGCGGGCATTAGGCATAGTTTTAACACGCGGTCGGACACACGCACTTGACGCGAGCAGGAGAACAGACACTACGCGCGGAGGATGAAAGCGAGAATGTTTTCGAAACGTCAGCTTAAATACAACTTGGTGTCAGAAATTGCCCTTTCTTCTTCCTTATCCGGGGATGATGAAAGCAAGATAAAATCTACTGCTGATTACGCATTTGTTTCGGCTGTGATAATGCCTGATATAGCCGACCTCAATGATGTCACGGACGCGTGACGATTGGCGCCAGCGGATCTGGAAAGCTCCATTTACTGCCTTCTCCTACGACGGAGACCGAAAATCGAAGGCCCAACCAACCGCTTCCGTATTTTGACGATGAGTATCGAGCCAATTCTTGAGTTGCTCATCTCTTCGGCGCCTCCAGGTGGGCTGTGCCACCAGATAGAGGGCAGCGTAACAAAACTCATGAGGCGGACTTCGATGAACGTGCCCAAACCATCATAGAGTTCTTTCTTGTATGGCCTGGAATATCCATGCGATGTCGTCGCAGCGAGTGTAGACTGTCTCATATGTCTTGGTATACTTCACTGGAGGAAGAGTCCCCAAGCAGCTGTGGAGAAAAACACCGCCAGTCTTCGCTCATCTTCCACACGCAAAGCCTAACGCTCACAGGACTGACCGGACAGATGCACGGTACACACGGATCATCATATCACGTCGGAGGATTTAGAAAACTCGGCTAGCAGCATCGATTCGGGAGTCAACGTCGTCCAAACTCTGTCCATTCGGTAGCAGCCTCGCCTCAAAGTATTTAAAGCTGTCTACTAATTTTAAGTTGACGACAATTAATCCTCAGAGGAGCCTTCTCCTGGCCAGGGATGCAGCTCGAGAATAACTTAGTTTTCCCGGAATTTATGGACAAGCCAATCGAAGTAGGGACAGCATTCACCCGTGACACTACAGACTGTAGATCGCCAAAACTTGAAGCTAGTAAAGCGCTACCATCGGTGTAGTCGAAATCAGTCAGCCGGCGTCCGGGTACAAGCTCAATACCGTCTTCTTCCCGTACGGCTGTCCCAATAATCAATTCAATAACGTAGTTGAATAGAATAGGCGCCAGGAAACAGCCTGGTCGAACGTCACATCGAATAGCGAACGACTCTGAAAGGTTGTTACGGACCAGAACCCGCGCAGCGGTTATGTTGTGACTTCACGAACGCACCTGGTTGCCGCTTCTGCCACTGATAACAGAAAGACCGCACGCATAAATAATTTACTTATAACGAGCCAGCAAGAACAACAATCGCTATAATTAGATGGCAGCCAAGTGGCTGGACTGTTCACTTTACCTGAATGAAATGCAAAAACAAATTCGAGGAAGAAGGATGCCGGTTGCGAAGAAAATTCGATCGCTTGGACAATTTTAAATGACTAACGTTTCGAAATCCGTCGCGGATTCTTCCTCAGAGACAGAAAGCGATAGCAGAAACGGGTCTGCTATCGTCTTCTGTCTCTGATGATATTGAAACATCAGGCTAATAAATGTTTTGTCCCAGCTATCAATTCTTTTTCCCAGTTACTTCCTTTGACTCGCTCGTTCGCTTGTATTGATGCCATCCATGTTAGCGTAGATAACAATTTATAAAGGCGCTTGAAAACTAAAGGCTAGATTCAAGCGAATGCACCGAGGGTACGAAAGGAACAGAAGTGCGGAGAAGAGGAAGGAAGGAAAAGCCGGTTGGGGGAGGGAGGTGGGCGTAGGGGTAAAAGAGACTGACATCAACAAACTAGAGTAATTCAAGGCCACGAAATTACTACGTACACCGTACAGAACTTATGAGGTCAGACACAAGACTGGGAGAGAGAGAGGGAAGGTCAGAAGGGCGTTGTGTTAATGCTTCCTGCAGTAGCAATACGGTAAGATGCTACAAAGCGGTGTTAGATCCAAACAGTCTGTTTGCTGGAACTTATAATAAACTATCGCGTAAAAGTCATCAGCACCGCAGTTAACACGAAGGGCTGCAACTGGTTAAGATGAAAGCAAATGACCTCTTGATAGACAAGGAGTCTTAGGAACCATCGACTGCCAGCGAGTTCAAAAAGCTCATGAACATCATAAACAAAGCGGTCGACAAACTGAGGAAGTCGGGAGCTATGACGAGAAGAGAGGCGCTGGCTGCAAAGGCCATCGACACTGCAATAGCACGTTTCTACAGTCAACCAAAGATGCACAAACCAGGAGTGCCCTTACGTCCCATCGTATTCTTACAAGGCACCCCGACTTTTTGGGTTGTCAAAGTGGCTACGGTCTACCACAAGGCAACCAATACCATGCGCATTCTCCACCCCGTTGGGTACAAACGCTGTTGTGTTAGAACCCTCTTCCAACGCGTTCAGACACATTGCAGTGATGATAGTGGGATAAGGGGGGAGATTAAGTACTTGCATGCCCCATTTCAGGCCAAAGGTTATACAAAGTCCTTTGTACGCACAGAAAAACAACACACCTCATGGAAGCGCCCGCGAGGGTGCAAGCAATTCAAACAGCCACAAAAATCGATCGGTACAATCAATTGACACGCAGGCACCAGGCTAGTGGTTGGACATACTTACTGACACTAGCAGGAGAACGGTCACCACGCTATGACGATGGAAACGAGAAGGCTTTTGAAACGTCAGATAAAATACAACTTGGTCCCAGAAGTCGCCCCTTCTTCCTCTTCCGAGAATGGTACAAAAACTTGAGGTATTTGACCACTACTGCTTAAAGACCATCCTTCGAGTAAAGTACACCGACTTCGTCTTAAATGAGACTGTTCACACTCGCTGCAACAACATCGCAAGGTTATCCCAGGCTATCCAAGAAAGACAACTGAGACGACTGGGACACGTCCTTCGTCGTCAATCTCACGAGCTCAGTGTTACTGCCCTCGGACCGAAACCGGTACCTAATTGGAAGAGGGGGTCAGCTCAAAAACTGGCTCGACTCAGTCCGTCGGGACATGGAAGTGGTTCTTGGACCTTTGGTATTGGGTCTCCGACCCTGGCGAAGAGAATGAATCGCACTGTCAAGGCATGCTGCCACGGATCGTCGCGCGTGGAGTGGTACCGTGTAGGACATCATCGAGACCGGCTAGATCAGTCATGATCGCAGCCACAACAAGAACAAGTAGTAGTAAGTAGTTGAATAGAATAAGCGACGGGACGCAGCCATGTCGAACGTTAAATCAAATGGCGAACGTGCCTGAAAGGTTGTTATGAATCAGATTCCGCGCAGTGGTTACTTTGTGACTATAGTAACGCACCTGGCTACCGCTACTCCGACTACTAACAGATAAGGCCGCACGTATAAGTAATTTACAGACAGCCATCCAGCGAACAACACCTCGAATTAATCATTATCACAATTATCGCTAAAATCAGATAGCTGAAATGTTCACTTAGCCTTAATGAAATGCGAAACAAGTTTGAAGAAGAAGGACGCCGTCTGTGTTAGCGTAAATAAAACGTCAAAAAAGGAGCGAGATTCAAGCCAATGCACAGAGGACACGAAATGAACAGAAGTGCGGAAAAGAGGGAGGTAGTAGGAAGGTAGATTGACGTAAACAAACTAAAGGAGTTCAAGGCCGCGGAATTACTACGTACACCGTACAGAATTTATGAGGTCAGACGCGAGACTGGGAGGGAAGGTCAGAACGGGGTTGTGTTAATGCTCCTTGCAGTAAAATTACGGTAAGATGCTGCAAATCGGCTTTAGAGCCTAACAGGCTGCATTCTGGAACTTATAATAAAGTCGTCAGCACTGCAGTTATCAAGAGCGACTGCAATTGGTTAAGATGAAATTGTGAGTGCAGTAGACAGAGGCGATTGCTACCTGATCTCCCCCAAAGCCTACAAAACCATGCATACACTGACTCGTAAGAGGTTCTTCAGGTATAGCGGGGGAGGGACAACTACTGGACAGAAAAAATCCCAAGGGATTTAGTACTCACCGCGAGGACAAGCGGTCGGACCTGGAGGACGTCAATCGGTTTCTCACCGACATCGAGGGTGTCATCGCTGCGATGGATACAGGTAGGCGAGACAGGTCGTCGAAATCGCGTCCGTGCCGGTAGACGCGGCGTTCTGGGCCAACGAAGGAACTGGCCAGCTAGGCTCCTTACGGACTCCAGAGTGTTCTGTAGGGAGGAACGAGGAATGGTTGACAGGGGGGCATGGGCAAGCGAGTGCAGGTCTTTGATTTGTAAATCAAAACACATACGCCCACTATTGTTGTCAACAGTAAGTAAAAAAAAAACGAAACAAGCAGAGAATAACGGTTACGGTGACAATCAAAAAAGAACCAAACAGGTAAAAGACACTTGCATAAATTTCTATCAGAGAATTCAGAAGAACATCTAGCGAGCAGACGTAGCTTTTGGATAAATTCTCCTTGGGCCATTACATTTATAGAGGGAGGGGGTAAAAAGTAACATGCTGGCAATTATGCTCATCGTTGCAAGCCAATTAGTCATGGGAATAGGGGAGGGGGTTAGGTTGATAGTACTCGGCTGGTTGGGATGCGATGAGGGTTTGTTGAATTCGAAAAAAAGGGGGGGAGAGTGGGAAGAGGGAGAAAGC